TCCACTTAAATTCGAAGAACTTTATTAAATGACAAGGTGTTTTGTGAGTGGAATTTCTTTCTTTATATTTTCATTTTCATTAATGTTTTTTATGAATTAAAAGACCATATTCTTATTCGTTAATGAAGTTATTCCTTTTTTCCTTCATTTAAATCTATCAAAAACATTTTTCATGGAAAGTAGTGATATAATTCACACTCCTTGTGATGATAAAGGTTTTGATACTGAAGATTCTCCGAGTAGTGAGATAACAATTAGCTCAGAAAATGAGTCTTTTTCAAATGACAACTCACAACCAAAAGACAAAATGATTAATGACAGTCAAGAAAAAGAAGAAAAAGAACGAAATATTTGTAATGAAAAAGGGTCTATTCACGAAAATATAAAACATGAAGAAATGACTAAGGAAAAAATAGTTACAAAAACTCCAACTCAAACACCAACAACTAAAAATTGTTCAGTTGGACAGAAAGGAAAACCTTCTCTAATTTCCATTAAGGAGTTATCTATTTCTAAATCACCCCAACCAAAACAAGAACAAAAATTAAACATTGAAGTAGTAGAATGTAAATCACCAACCAGTCCTATTATTTCTCCACGACAAAAATTTACACCAAGAGCATCAATGATTCAATTAGTTAAAGGATGCCCAGAAGAACAAATTATAATAGGGTATCCAGTTAGTTTAATGAATAGGAATGATGTTATTAATTTTAAAGGACCAATGAATGGACAATTAACATTAACTAATTATAAAGCAGTATTTGTAGTTAAATGTGTAATATTTAATGTTAGTATTCCATTAACAAAGATTGCAGATTTTAAGAAAGTCAATTCTATGGATAAACAACACAAAAGATTATTTTATTTAGAGACAAAAGATAATAGAAAGTATGTTTTTTCATTTGAAAACAGAAGAGATGAAAGAAAGCAATTTAATTTGAATTTATTAGAATCAGTATTTACAACAAGTCCAGAAAAAATGTTTATTTATCATAGTAATTCACCACCAATTTCACATAGTTATTATCAAATAGCTGTTGAATTTGAAAGACAAGGAACACCAGATACATGGAGAGTATTTACTGGAAATCAAAATTATGAATTAGCACCAACATATCCATCATTAACATATGTTCCAGTAAATGCAAGTGATGAAATTATTAAAGATTCAATGAAACATAGGAGTAAAGGAAGATTTCCTGTTTTGACATGGTATAATAAAAAGAATGGATCTGTCATTGTTAGAAGTGCACAGCCATTACCTGGAATGGTTACACCAGTAACAGGTAAGAATACAAGTGGTGATGTTACATATCTTCAATTAATAGATGAGACAACAGGAAAAAGAGGCATTCATGTTTTAGATTCTAGACCAAAACTAAATGCCTATACAAATAAAGCTGCAGGTGGAGGATATGAAGATGAAACAACATATCCATTTGTTAAAGTAGAATTTGAAAATATTGATAATATTCATGTTGTTAGAGAAATATGGACAAATGTTGCATTAGCTGCATTTAGTTGGGAAGGAGAACTTGAAGAACAAAAATTTATGAAATTACCAGAAGTAAAAGAATGGTTCAATCTTATTGAAACAATTTTTGTAAGTGTTAAAAAAGCAATTAGATATCTTATTAAAGGAGAAAGTCTTTTAATTCATTGTTCTGATGGATGGGATAGAACAAGTCAATGTTGTTCATTAGTAGAACTATTACTTGATAAATATTATAGAACATTAGAAGGATTTATTGTTTTAATTGAGAAAGATTGGAAATCATTTGGACATCAATTTGAAAAAAGAAGTGGAATAGGAGTTGTTTGTCCTCATGGACAATACTCTCCTATTTTCTTCCAATTTTTAGATTGTGTTAATATTCTAATACATCAATTTCCAGATGATTTTGAATTTAATGAACAATTCCTTTTAGAATTAAATGATGCTATATTTTGTTCTGATTTTGGAACTTTCATGTTTGACTGTGAAAAGACAAGAAAAGAAAGTGGTGTTGAACTTCAAACACCATCATTTTGGGAATATGTTGTTGGACAGAAATGTAAATTTATTAATCCAAGTTATAAAGATGAAACAGAAGAATTAATACTTGAAGATAAACAACCAAAATTAATTCTTTGGACAAAATATTTCACAAGATACAAAATTAAAATGTCACGATGAATTTAAGGTTATACATCACAAATAATTAAAAAGAGATTTTATATTTGATTGTTTTAAGGTTTTAATAATGAGAAAAATAAAAAGTCACGTCTGAAGAAAACTGAAAATAGGAAGAATTCCAAAAATACAAGGAAGGAACTTATAAAATAACGTAAGGAACTATGAAGTTCACCTTCAGTAAAAAAGAAGAAAGACACTATTTAAAGACTGACAAGAACTGAAATGAACATTAAAT